TAATAATAAATTTTCATTCCGATTCAACACATCAGCTGAATGTTAAAAAAAATACATAATTTAAATTGTCGAAAGGCACCAAGTGCATCCAAAATTCCAGCCTGAGAATTGAAGGATGGCTGCAATGATAAATACACACAACTGACAATTCTATACAATGAGTTTTTGAAAAACAAGACATATCCTTGCAAGCTCAAAAAAGCAATTGTCACACCAATATACAAAAAAGAAGATCCAGAACTACCAGAAAATTATAGGCCTATCTCTATAACTGGGGCTCTCTCAAAAGTTTTTCAAAAATTGTTATATAAACAAATCAACGAATATCTGATATCCCAAAAATTATTAAGTAATACTCAATTTGGGTTCAGAACATCATATTCAACAATCGACGCTACTCTTTATTGCACTGAAGCATGCAGAAAAGCAATAGACAACAACAAAACTGTAGCATGTTCCTTACTGGATCACTCTAAAGCATTTGATTATATTGATCATACTTATCTTGAACAGAAACTAAAAGGGTTAAAGTTTTCCGAAGAAGCTATAGAAATGATCAATTCTTTATCACCAACCGAAGCCAGAAAACAATTTTTAGCAACACCGAATCCGATTGGATTGCACTTGAGCAGGGTGTCCCACAGGGTACTGTCCTTGGCCCTCTAATATTCAATCTCTACATTAACGATCTCAACAAACAAATTGAGAAAACATGTAAAATAGTTCAATATGCGGATGATACATTACTAATCTGTGAAAATAACGATCCACAAAAAGCTCTTAAAGCACTCGAAGCCAATTGTAGTCTGTTGTAAAATTATTTCTTAGAACACTCACTTCAATTGAATGCAAAAAATAACAGAACTCATCGTTTTCAGCAAAAAACTTTCAAAGAAAAAGGATGAGAAGTATACTATAACTCCAGATGATAAAATAATTGAGGAAAAAACCAATGTTAAATAACTAGGAGTAGTTTAAGATCAGTTTCTCACATTCCAAGATGAAATCAAAAATATTTTCAGGAAAATGGCATGCGGAATAAAAACACTTCAATCAATCAAAAAGCCATTGCCAGTAGAAACAAGACTCTTGATAATGCATGCACTGGTAATTAATCATTTGCATTACCCAGCAATTGTTTTAAGTGGAATATTGGGTAACCTAATGATATCTCTGGAAAAACAGTTAAGCTGGGCAGTAAAAACTTTTTGCGATCGAGCAAAAAACGACTCATCTTCAGACTTGAAGCTAAAAAACAATATATTGCCAGTAACAATGTCTCTGGACTATAAAATATTATGTCACTTTTGGAAAATACAACATCAATTATTACCAGCCAATAATAACATTGAGTATGATAACCACCAAATAGATACAAATACAAGAAACAAAAAATTATATTTCGGCGACAGATACAATTGGCAATACATTGAAAATTCCTTCTTTAAAATGTCCGTCATAATCTGGAACAAACAAAAGATGATAAAGTCAACTCTAAAGACATACTAACATACAGAAAAGCAAAGATAAAATTCAAGAATTAGTATTTAAAGAGGACCCCTCTGTGGCAAAGTTTCATGGAAAAGCTTCAAGTTTATATATTAACTTTTATATATAAACCACCTTGAAGCTCTCAGGTGAAAAGTAATCATTGATAATTGTAATAGATTTTGTTTTGTTTATTGTTATTGTAATTATGTGTATCTAATGTTGTTATAATATTTTTATGAATTGATAAAATAAACAGAAAACATTTGACATACACTTGTGTATTGAAATTAATTTCGATGTGCAATTAAAGTGTTTTTTTTATATATAGCAATTTGACTCGAGAACGATTTTTAGTCAACTTTCCCGCAATTATTAATCGGTTCTTCTGATCATTTTTGCTTTTTCATTCCAGTTGCTGCGATAAACTTGAGTATGAGCATGACATGGTCAATTCGAATTTTTAACAATACCATTTCACCCAAAATTAAGATAAAACTTCAGGATATGACTGACTGGCACAGAATTTGATTGGTGAATTTTGTAAATGTGATTTTTAAGTTGTGGTTGATTTTTTAACATTATCTTTGTTCATTTTCTTTAAATTTCAACTGTTGAACGTGATATGCACGATATATGCACGACAATTTAAAATTCTCATTGGAAATCTTTTACTTATTTCTCTTTGCTGCTGGAGGTACCACTTGTTTGCGTCCTCAACATGTGAAGGACTGTCTAAGTGATAAACTTGGTCAAGACGCCTTGAACCTGAAATCAGCGCTTACTGCGTTTGTTAACCTTCTCCTAATCCGGAACGGTTCCAGACAGAATAAAACCCCTAATTGCTGGCGCCAATTTGAGTGCTTTCAACAAGCCCAACGGAGGCCTGCGCCCTATTGCTGTGGGAGACACACTGTGCCGAGTTGCTGGCAAATGTGCAGCCAGTATTGCCAGTTCGAAGTTCAAATCCTACTTCGCTCCCCTTCAAGTTGGGTTCGGCACCCGGGGAGGAGCGGAAGCTGCAGTCCATGCTGTTCGGGCGTTCATTAAAAGCGCTAACGAAAACAATGTTCTGCTAAAGCTGGACTTCAGCAATGCGTTCAACACCGTTAGAAGAGACTATGTCGCTGAACTCCTTGCAGAAGAAATGCCGGAACTTCTTCCGTTCTACAGACTTTGCTACGAACAGGGAAGCTTCTTGTCTTTCGGCGAAGGGTTCATTGTCTCTGAGGAAGGGTTCCAACAGGGAGACCCTCTAGCGGTTTTCCTTTTCTGTCTGTCCATCCACAGATTTATCGTCAGGTTGAAGGCCAGATTGAAAATTGCCTATATTGACGACATCACTAAAGGCGACGACTGGAAGATTGTCATTTGAGATCTTCGCCTTGTCATGGCTGAGATCGAAAAAGTCGGCTTGTCCTTGAACGATAAAAAGTGTGAAATAGTTTTCTTCAGTTCTAATCATGATTTTAGCACCAAGGTTACCAACGAGTTCAAGCTTCTGTGCCCCAGGATCAAGACTGTGCAGGACTCTGAAATTGAGCTTCTAGGCTCTGCCTTGGGACCGATCTCGATTGAAACTATTTTTAACCAGAAGCTGAAAGCCATCCTTCTGATGAAAGAGCGGCTGAAACACGTATCCTCATACTGTGTTCTATTCCTGCTGAAGAATTGTTTTCTCATTCCTAAGCTGATTTACTTCTTTCGAACATCAGAAGTCTATCGAAGAACTGACCTCCTTCTCACGCTTGAGAACACAATTATAAGTGTTCTGGAAAACATCATAAACATCAAGATAGATGTTGCTGCGTGGCAGCAAGCCTCACTACCAGCCCGTTCTGGAGGCCTTGGTATCTTACCTCCTACTAAACTGGCTGTCGTTTCGTACCTCTCGTCTTTCCTTTCAGTCAAAGATCTAGCACAGCAGGTCTATGCCTTTTCTCAAACTGACGTAATAACGGACGCCCTTACTAACTTCGATGCTTTCACAGTAGATGGAGCTCCCCCGCGATCTTTTAAACAGCGCGAAATATACGATAAAATCACGGAAAAACAAGTTAGCCAGTTTCTCCAGGAAGCCACAGCCAGTGATGCCGCCAGATTACATGGAGCTGCTTGTAAAGGAGCGAGCGACTGGCTCAACGCTATGCCCTCTAGATCTCTAGGTTTGCATATGTCAGACGAGCAGCTGAAAATCGCCGTTAGCTTCAGACTAGGTTTACCAATTTGCTCCTCACACACCTGTTGGTGTGGCGCCAAGGTTGAAGCGGACGGGTCACACGCGTTCGTCTGTCTTCGCAGTCGGAGTCGCCATGCTAGGCACCAACTCGGCAACGAGATTATCAACAAAGCCCTGCAGAAGGCTCATATTCCAGCAGAATTGGAACCAGCAGGTATGTTCCGAGACGCTTAGGTCGCTCCATGGCGTGGGGTTTCACCTGCGTGCATCGCCTAGCCGCCTCATATTCCACCCAAGCAGCTACTCCTCGTCCATGTGTCACTGAACTTGCCGAGTCTCGAAAAGTCAGTAAATACTCGGCCATAGCACAGACACACTTCTTCCAGCCAGTTGCAGTAGAGACATTAGGTGGACTCGGCCCTAGCACCCTCGATTTTGTTAATGATTTGGGTAGACGGATATTTATTGCCACAGGAGAGAAGAGAGCAACTAAATATCTAAGACAACGTATGGGAGTAGCAGTGCAAATGGGAAATGCTGCAGCTATTATTGAGACGTTCAAAAGCGACCCGGACCCGCTTCTTGTCAGTGAACTGATCCACCACCGATGATTGGATACATTCCCATCTGCCCCGCTGCCCCCGGGAGTTTTCTCCACGTTAATTCCATTTGATGTGGTTATAAATTTGTACTTGTAATATGGATTTTGAGCCGGTGTTTTTAAATGATGGTTACGACGATGCATTTAATGCTGATAAAAAAAAAATTTCTCTTTTCACAAGTGATAGAATATTTTTCTATCTTCAAATTTTTTTTTCAAGTTTGTGTCGCGAGTGGTGCCCAGCTCTGCTTTCCTCTGTGTTAGAAATGACTTTCAAAATACTCACTTATGATTTTCCCTCAAAATGCTTTAAAAAATAATTTTTTTTTTCTAGTTTAATGAAGGACTTTTGATGATACTATTTCATTGCATCACAGTCAACTTTTTATTTCAATTCAACCAAATAATATGTGAAACTACGACCTGAACTAAATAACTAGAAATTCACAACCATGTATAACAACGAAAAATGTACGTTTCCTCAAATTGGCGTATTTCCAGTTTTTTTTATGTCCCATTTCGCTATGAGGAATATGATGAAAATATTAGGTTCGCCTCAGCCTAAATTTTGTGCTCTAGAAAGAAATTATATTCGCTGTGGTTTTCTTAACATTGTTGTTTCTTCTTTTTTGTTATTCCTCGTTTGATTTGAAAGCGGTGTTTCTGCGCGTCATGAATTATGGTGTATCTTTTTAAAGCAAGGTCGCAAGTTTGATAATCATTGGTAATTTTAATAGATATTGATTGAAATTTAACTTGCCTGTATCACAATGACGAATGAACCATTGTCGAAAAAGATCAAGCTCTCAGAAAATAACGTAGAAGCTAACAAGGAACGCGAAGCAGAGACGCAAGCAGCAATAGAGAAAATCGATGAACTGCAATCAGAATTAGATGCATTGAACGATAAAGCCAGTGAGGAAATCTTGCAGGTAATTTTTTTTAACTACAGTTCTCGTTTATTTTTTACAACGAATGTGCTAGGTACGACACAGGGGTTAAGCTTCGCACCATTTGCGGTGTTACACAAACATAGCTTTGTAAGCTTGCACTCAAAAAATGAATTGAAAGTATTTCGAAAAAAAACCCCGAAATGTCGAAAAAACCACAAATACAAAAAAATGATATTATGGCTGACGCGAACTGTATGCGTGCGGTAACTTATCCGAAAAAAATATGGCTAATTTCTCGTTGAGCTGAAAAAAATAGTTGTCATGGAAAAGAACGAAGTTATTTTAACTGATATTAGTCTTGATGATTTTTTGTTTTTTTTTTCTTTCAGGAAAAAGCCTCTAGTTTTTTCACCTTAAAATTTGTTTTTCGCGACTTAGCTTATGATTTCATTTTGATTTAAAAGCAAACCACTGTCTAATAGCAACAGTTAAACAACGATAGCGGGTTACTGTGCAAGTAGCACAGAATGTTCCGACCATTGTCTTAAAAACACAAAGCTTTTTCTAACTATTGACATTTTTTTCGGCGTGTGTGATTTAAAAAAAGTGGGGATTAGGTATGTTCGACAGCCATAATAAATTAAGCAAAATGAATAACAATTTTTGCCGAAAAATTACTTGAAAACCGAAAAAAAAACTCAAAATAATTTCGAAATTTTTTCAAGGTTTTTGGCAGTTTTTGAATTTTTGAAAATTTGGATTCCAAAAAGGCGCTAAAATACTCAAAGTAAACGTTACCCCATATAAAACTATTTTTTTGTTACGTTTTAAGTGAAGCTAGTGTAAGTTTTTAAGCAATTTAATAAGACTTCTCGCTCGTTTCATTTGCTCGAAATTAGACGAAAATAATGTGTAAATTCAAGTGCTTGGCGTTTACCCGCGGGCTTATAAAATGCCCTACATACAAAATAACAGAAACAAATTTACAATGACGCCAGATACACAGAAAAACGGTACCAGATTTGCATAGAACAGAAAAAAAAACACTCATGAGCAGTACCGGGACAGGAGGAGGGTGGAGTTCCTTTTTTGCAGGACAACTGACAGCTGTTGCATAAGATAGCAAGCAGCTTGCCTGGGGTCGGCACAGGCAGAGCGCGCTGCTGCAATCGAAGCATGCAGCGCCATCGAAGCATGCCATCGAAAATTGGAAAAATTTCAAGCCGGTTTTTCTCGACACGGGGTTTTTAAATGTGGTTCGAATCACGACTGTAAGGGCCTTAATAAGATATATCATTCAAGCCAGTCCGATCATTATTTGTGGTACCTGATTTTGCGTGGAAAACAAAAAGAAAAAACTACGAGACCCGAATACAGAGTTCCTCCCCATTTTCATTGTTAGGAACAAAAAAGTCACGAAAAAGGCGAAACACTCCCAGTATCACAATGGACTTAATTGTCCGAATTTCCAGTGGAATTAAAATAATTATCTATTGATCCCGTTTTTCTAATTAGGACAAATTTACGAAAAAAGTGCCAATCATAAACAGTATTTGAGCTTCGAAGAATTTCAACCTGATATATTTTTTTGCTTCGAAACTCGAAATGTTTCAATGATTTTTTTGTCTTCCTTGTTTGTTTTCTCTCTTTCTTTTGGCTATGCTGTAGCTTCTGTGTTTCTAGAGGGGTGGGTGATTCTTCCTTTCAAACAACTTAAAGTTATATCAGAAAACAACGTTGATCAATGTTGATTTGCTTATGAGCACTTTCGAGCTATCGCTCATTATCAGCATCTTAAAACAAAAAAGCTTGATAAAATCACTAAATCCAGTAAATAAAGTTAAATTGTTCTTTGAAAATAAATAAATCATATTTAAGATCATCTCTGTACTCATCAGGAGTGCTATTTTATGAATCAAAGTTACTAAAAAAAATGTTCTTGGGATTTTAATGATATTTGATAAAAGCCATAGCACAGCAAGGAAGGCTTAGATGCTGAATTCATTTGATGACGGTGCATTTAATGCTGAAAATTTACGTCCAACCATTTGACATGAGTGAATCATTTTAGCGCTTTGATGCGTTTACATTACGCTGATATCCAGCTTTTGCTCGGACCGTAACTACACGAGAGGATTCTTTTTAAAATTTAGCTTTTTTATCGAAAAGAAAATATACGAAGTCAGGGTTAAGTGGGTTCACAACCAAATCACGCACTTACAACTACAATGAATATTGCTTACAACGCAAGAAAATTCCGTGATATGGCAAATAGGTCGACTAAACGTAATCGTGTGAACGATAATAGTAATATATTTTTTTCAAAGCCGACTTTTTTCAGTATGAAAAAAAAGATCCTGACCAGATTCGGCGAAGTCCTTACCTGCAGGCCAGAAGTGTCAGAGAAACCAGGGTAGTTGAATTTATCATAAAACAAGCTTTGAAATGATTTTCTTCAGATATTAACCTGTAAGTAGTATTGTCTAGCATGCGATCCAAGGCGATAAAGCTACTACGTACTTTTCCCAAAAACATTCAATAGAAGAAAAGTCGAATTCCATTTATGGCAAATGCTTCTTGGTTTCAAGTTTAATACTAAATCAGATGCTTTGTCCAACGACGTTTTTTTAAATTACGCTTGAACTTTGGTCGGATTTTTTTTGGAAAAACGTTTTTTTCTCGTTTTTCCTAATAGATTTTAAGCTTTTCAAATTTTTCCATTGTTTTTCAGTCTGTTTTTTTTGCGATGCTCAAGTGAAACCAGTGGATCGATTTTTATAGATGTGGTCATTGTTTTTCTACCAAACTTGTTTTCAAAACGATTTCGGGTTGTTTTGTGAATCTCTGAGTTTCTACAATTTTGCGGCCGGCTATGCAAATGAGAGCAAATTCAGCAATCCCACCGAGAATCTGAACTAACGCCAGCACAGAAATTAAATGCGTGTTCAAACTAATCAGTTTTCTGTTTGAAACAAACTTTATTGCAATGTGTCGAGCATGAGATAAAACGCCGTATTTTGATGGAGATGTCCTTTTGGTATCAAGTGAATGGGTTGCCCGACAAAAAAAAACATGAGCAAATTGAAGAAAAAGAAGAATTTATTTCGCTAGCATATGGTATAAAAAATTTCAACAAACCTTCTTTCTGAAAGAAAGCCGAGAGTCTCCCAAGCCACAACCGACAGCAAAGCCATAAAGCAGAGAATACGCACAGGTCGAGCTCCGTATTTTCTTAGTATAAGTAAGTCTTTGAAACAGACTTTGAAACTTAAGTTAGTCTTCTGAGAAAACTGTTAGGATACTTCCTTGCTTTAGTTTTGAACCAGATTTTAAGCACGCACACATTCACCTTTACACACAATTCTCGTGAATTCTGGCTTTTCAAATGAATATCTCTAGATTCGTTCAAAAGCCAATATTGCAAACTCCAAATCAAGAAAAATGTTTGTAATTTTTTCACTTCAAGTTCTTATATGTATCCTTTGATCGCCAAAGACGATTATTTGTGGTATTTGAGGTTATGAGATAAAGTTAAAAATATATGCAAAAATATAACTGAAGACAATTTTCCTTTCGAATTTGTCGTCAAGACAAAAACTTCAAAAATTGTCCGCTTCTGATAGCTGGATTAAGTGAACAATAATGTTTTTTTTTTAATTCTCCCTAGGTTGAAAGAAAATACAACAAGTTGCGAGAGCCGTATTACTCAAAGCGAGGTGGTGAAATCTCAACAATTCAAGGCTTCTGGGTCACAGCATTTCTGAACCACCCGCAGATATCGGCACTGTTGTCCGAGGAGGATGAGAAGGCGCTGGCGTACATGGAGAACCTTTCTGTGAAAGAGAATGACGACATTAAGTCTGGCTACAAGGTTGTGTTCACGTTCAGAGAAAACCCATACTTTTCTAACAGTCTAATAGAGAAGGAAATCAAATTGAACGAGGAAGGAGAGCTGGTGGGAAGTGCGACCAAAATAGACTGGAAGGAGGGCCAGTCTCTTGTGAGTCAGACACCGCAGCCGAACCAGCCACAGAATGAGGCAGGTGGCGTGGACAGTTTCTTCCATTGGTTCTCAGAGGAGGCTTCCTCCGGGCTGGGTCAGGACGAGTTGGGGGAGATTATCAAGGATGACATCTGGCCGAACCCACTGCAGTACTACTTGGCCACGGAAGAAGGCGACGAAGACGGAGATGGCGAGGAGGAGTTCGGAGATGAGGATGACGAAGATGACGATGATGAGGATGGGGATGGCGCAGCTGACGGAGAGGAAGATGGCGAGGGTGCGGAAGGCAACTAGTCTTTTTCACCATCGCTTTTCACAATTCCCGTCTCTGCGAGGCATGTCTAGCACAAAGCAATTTAAGCCCCACTCTAGGCCCAATGTCTTATTCTAATTAAAGTTCCCCAATCGATTTCAATGACTTATTCGACTGGCGCCTACTATCTCTATCGTCGGCTGGTTGATCTTGCGGTCCACAATGAAATATCGAATTCGACAAAACGGAACCTACACCTTGAAAAGCTGCTAGTCATAAACTGGGTCATATTTTTATGCACTTCGTCGGTTTAGTGCTTTGTCAGTGGCTAGTTTTACCTTCTGATTATTTTAAACCTGAAGTATGTCCTCTGTGACTGACTTGCGAATGTAAAACAATCCACTGCTCAATGCGAATTGTTGTTTATTTTATTTTTTGAGGCTACCTTTCAGCGTCGCCATGTTTGTAACTTCTTGATGTATTGTTGACTTCTAATAATTTCAAGTTCCGTTTCAAAATTATTTTGAGGTAGTAAAATTATCGCGATGCTAGAATAACGAAATCCGCCGTGGCCGAGTGCTGTGGCGGATGCCTAGATCCATCTCTTTTCGAGTGGCGAAGATGCGCGGCCTTTAAAACAAGGTTCGCGGATTAGAATCCTGCTTCGCCCACAGTCGGATAAGTTCCAGTGTCATCCGCCTCCTCAAGGTGGGACCGGCTGCAGCAAAATCGTTGACATCTCTCTCCCCAACGGAAAAATGTCCAAGGTTGATTGGGGGGGGGGGGCTCATAAAAAGAAGAATTCAGCAGAATACAGACAGATTGAATGATTCGGGCATAGGCGATCTTAAAGCCAAGAGCGCATATAATTTTAACGAGAAAAGGCGTATACGACCGTAAAAAAATTCCGTGATGTTTGTGATAATTTTGAGAGAGGGTTGGGCTTGACGTGCGAACGAAATCTGCCTTTGATCATATAAGGCATGCAAAGTTCAATGTTCATATTACAGATGATATTCAAAAGTTTGATGTTCCAGATTGCTTATGTTCTGACAGCAGCTGTCTTAGAATAGTGGGATTTATGAATAGATTTTGTACCCTCATCGTCCTTGTATCTATTTCCTGTACCCTTCTCTGTAGTACGAGTGCGTGTCCATCTTTTCACTGCTCCTGTAAATGTTGAAAGAGGTTTGCGTCCTTCAAAACTTGGCGCCTGTGGTTAACTTGTCCTCTATTTTACCAATCACTTTACAAAGTGGCAACCTTGTTCATAATAATCAAGTTAACGTTGTGATCAGACAAGAGAGAATTGTGATGGGGGAGAAACATGCACCCCCCGCAAAGGCCCTTGGACTGACTGGGTTTTTGTGCGACAAGTTGCCAACTTCTGATGAGGTTGCGCTTACACATTCTCTCAAAGGTTGCTTGATGAGCTTCGATCTGTATGAGTCTGACCAGGAATTCCAACACAGAGTCAATATTCTAGCGCGACTTGATCATCTGGCAAAAGACTGGATCCGTCAAATGGCAATTAAGAAGGTATAGCACAGCACATACTTACAGCTGAGTTTGAAATCCTGAATGTTTTCATAGTTTCTCTATGAATTGAAGGAGCTGCGCGCTGAAGCTAGCGTCCTGTCTATTCTCACCGATCGTTCGATTTCTCAGTGAAATTTACCAGAAATGAATGGTTAATTTTAACCCAAATTTTCATTTTTCTAGCCGCGCAGTCACGGAGTAATGATATGCTGATTGTTGAATGTAGGGCTGGTCAGTTATTTCTGCGATTAACAACTGTTAATCCAACGTCTGATGTTTTTTGCACGTGCGATAATCGAAGGTGTTTCAACCGGGTATTGGACTTGTTTCCTGTAAATAACTTTTTTCACATCAAGGTATATTTGAAAGGAATCTTGCTATGTTCTGCCTATGTAGGACTCGTGCTTGATTGTAGGTGGTAGATGCATGATCTTTTTGATTTTTTACTGAGAAGTTTTGGTTGGTTTTCAGCTTATTAGGTGTCGGCTTTAATTCTCGGCTCCTTTACCTAATGGTTTTTCTATTAGTTTCCGATCGTATTTTTTATATGGATTCAATTTTGACAACAATTTTGAAGAAGTAAAGTCAAAATCTCCGACCCTCTTTCAACAGTTAAAAAACATGAACAGAAGTTTTTTCGTCTCCTGATATTACGAGTCAAAGAACGTATTTCAGACTCTTATATAGGTTACGATGATTTTTTTTGGGAAAAATCTTAAAATTTGTTCAAGCTCAAATCTACTCTTTCGCAGTTTGACTTTTGATTTCTTCAAGAAAAGTTTATTTTATGTTTTTGGTTTTTAAGCTCACCAAAAGTTTCTGCTAGTGAAGAAAAATTTAAAATAGACGACAGTTTTTCCCGATTGCTTGTTTCTTCTGGACTATTTCTTTTCTCTTAGTATGTTTGGACTTAGTTCGTTGAAACTTGTTGTCTCAATCTCATATTCGCTGAGAGTGTTTCTTGTAAATCGAAAATGAACAAAAAAATCTAATTTTTCTGCAATGTGAAATTTCCATATTTTGGATTTTTGTCACCATTATTTGCGGCTCGATGAGTGTCTGATTAAGTTTTTTCTGCATAACTACCATTTGGTAAATTTTTAGGAACCGATGAACTTAGTTCAGATTCGTGTAAAATTCGTTAGTCTTTTAGTAAGTCTTTGTTCAGTCTCAAATTTATTCAGTCTCAATCTTCTCAATTTTATCCAGTTTCAAAAGGCTATCTTATTTTTTCGTAGAAAATCGGAAAGTTACTTGCGTTCCTTGACTCTTTTCCAACTCTCTGCTGACTATATTTTTAATGTTAGTTTAAAGCCGGTAATTGTGTTTCGCGACAGGTTTGCATCAAAATGAGTTTCATTGGAGGCCAAGGTATGAAAATTTTTGGGTGTTGTTTTTTGTCGGTTTGCGACTCGCTGGCTTTCCTGAATCGCAAGAGGCGAAAAGCTCAGTTTCGCTTCCATTATGAAAGTTCGTGTAATTTGATTAGAACTTGACGGACAATATGGTGGAAAAAGTCGGAGGGAAGTTGTTCACATTTGGATCATATAGACTTGGTGTGCACACTAAGGGTGCTGATATAGACACACTGCTGGTGGCGCCAAGACATGTCGAGAGAGAAGACTTCTTCACTTCATTCTACGATGTGCTCAGTCAGCAGTCTTGCGTCACACATCTACGGGTAAATTTAATTAGATTGATAGTAACAAAATTGAATCTTGATGGTGTCAAATGTTGTTGTTTCATTACTCCAATCAGCATTTAGTTTTTTTAGATACGTTTGTCTTTTCGCTTGTGTATGCCATGTGCAAAATGGAACGTGTTTATCATAAAATTTCCTTGTCAATTGCGAAAAACTACCAATTTTCAAACAAAAACGTCAAAATACGCATTATACTTGGATCAAAGAAGTTTTCACAGGTTCAAACTCTTTGAAATATTTACGGGTTGGTTTTTGAACGTTTTTTGATAATTTATTTTATCCATAATTTTGAATTGATAAATATGGCATTGGTTTCTAACATTAATAACTAGCCTTTGATAAATAGTTGATTGCCCTAGCGAACTAGCCTTTTCTTGTTCACAGCATAACTCAATTTGATGGTTTTTGCAAAACAGAATTTTCTTTTTTTAACAGACAAATTTTGAGCACGTTTTGAGCATTTTATATTCCTTCCTTTAATTTTTGTAAATGTACTAACTCTGATTTCAGTATGTCAGTTTTTTTTCCTTTATTCTTGAAATTTTTTCCTCTTTCTTCCGCTTTTAAAGATTGCGGATCATTTAATATCGACATAGCAGACTCGTTTCAATTTTTTTGATGAGTAAAAGAAGGTTATCTAAATGTTTTTAGGGGGCCTTGAAAACTTTTTTGAGATTTAAAGTGTTTTATGGAAACTGTTTTTCTCAGCTCAACGTGTGTCTGCTTCGGTATGTTGTCCAATATTTCAATTAGCTGTCGTAGGTTTTACCTAGCATATTTTTCTTAGAAGAAACTTTATTTAAGACAAAATCTAGACAAAGTTGAAAATTTTGGTTAGTCAATTTGTTTCAAAAAGTAAGTTTTTGATTTTTTTGTGCGGATTTTGCCTCATTTTCTGTCGATTAGTTTACCATGATATATTTCTGTGGAATCGGAAATGATGCGATGTTTTGTGTTCTGATCATTTTTACAGACGTTGTTTTCATCGATAGTTTTTCTACACTTGCGAGAGATGTGTCTTGTAATTGGGATTTAGACTTTTCCCCCGTGAACAACTTTTACAAATCCTTCTTGCTTTTCATACGTGCTTTTGTTATTGAACCTGAACAACTTCTAGTTTCGTTCCCTTTTGGCCTAGAGATAGCGTGGTTGTGTTTGCACTCTATGATCTGGTTTTCGAGTCCCGGCCAGACCTTGTTTTTTTTCCAGTTTGTTTGAAATTGAAATTCTTTTTCCAGTAAAAATTGAATTGGACTTTCGTTTGTTTGCTCAAGTTTTGTCGTCTTAGTTGCCACATCGCGGATTTTCTTCTGTTGGAAGCAATTTTCATTTAGTTGCAAGTGCTGCTCATTGTATTTTCAGGGAGACTTAAAACTTTTTTTTTTCAAAATCAGTTTTTTTGCTGAACTGGTGTCTGATGTAAAAGTTGTACATTTTTTTTTCGTTTTCTGATAAACTACTGTTCAGATCTGAGCTGTTGGGTTCAATTGACAGAATGGGTTTTGTGAAGTTTCCTACAGAAGCGGCTACGACCAAATTTATGTACACAGAAAGTTACGGTTTTCGTAATAGTCAAATATTTGATTTTCTGAACCGTTATCTGAAATTTTTTGACTTTTCTCGAAAACAACGCTTCGAAATCTTGGTGGTCAATCGAACCAACCTATTGTGTGAAATTTTCTGCATAAGTGGCTACGCCCAAATGTTTTATCCCAAAAAGGTATGTTTTGCGAAAAAGCAATATTTTGAGTTGAACGTTTTTGGAAACTTTTTGACTTTTTCCGAAAACTACCCTGCCAATTCTTATGTTAATTGTTCGGGTTCAATCGAGAAACCCGGTTGTGGGAATATTCGCTCCTTAAGTGGCCACGACCGTCTTATTGCAGAAAAAAGGGTTGGTTTTCGGAAAGTCAAGCTAAATATTCAAATATTTGGATCGCCGGTCTTCCAAGAGTGAGCTTGTATCGAGACTCACGGAATTTATCGTAGACCTTGTTTTTTCTTTTGTTTTTTTATGACAGTTTATCGTGTGTGATGCAAAGCTCCGATCAAGGATGACTTTTTATCATTACCTGAGCGAGCTTGCGAGCGTTAGTTTAATACTACCTTCTTTTATCTAACCTAACTCGCAAATAAAAGTGTTCCATGAAAGTGTTCACTTATATGGAAATATCACTGCAGCATTGGAAATGGCATAGCATCTGTTTTCTGATTTATTTGTGGCTAGTGTTTGTCGTATTTTAAGTGTCGATAGCTGAGTGGTTAGTGCGTGAGAATTATAATCTTTAGGTCGTAGGTTCGAATCCGATATGTAGCCGATATTTTACTAGTTCGAGGCTTATTTCTACTTTTTCGTTTTGCACTTTATAGAGCTGCTTTTTGTCGTGTTCTCACTAGTTTTTGGGAAGCGCAGCTATGCCTCTGTGTAAATCAAAAGACCCACGCTATTCGTCAAATCAATGATTCTGTAGTGTACAAATAAGTTAGCAAAAAAAGCAGCTGCGCTTCGCCTCTATGTGAAAGCTTCCTGAATTTTTTTGCTTGTTTTTCAAAGTAAATTATCGTTGATGTGATTAATATCGCAGGGCCTTTGATCCATGATAAATAGTCTTTCTTAATCTGATCTCTCTACGCTTTCTTGCTTTTGTTCCTACTTTTCTGATAACACAAGCAAAGAGTGAACTAATCAGGCTCGGAAATCGTTCTAAGTGATTTGAGTCAACCTAGTTGTTGGTGCTTTATGCGACGAGAACACATGCACTTTGTGCTGTGCGTAACGTTTTGGGTGATTTAAAAGTCTGGAATGTGGGAAAATGAGAGAAGCGGACTATGCTTAGACAGGCTGCAAAGACTTTCATAGATCCTCTGCGAATATCAGAAACCACAATTAATTATTAATGTAGGATCGGTGATCCTAACACTTTTTGCCTTACTTAGAGTTCAAGTGAGAGCTTTACCTTGGCAAATGCACGTAATAATGTAAAGCTAATGGAACGCGTACTATGAAGATTGTTTAGTCAATAAGATGAGTACAAAAGTAAACAAACAGTGAAGTCCGAAATAGTTCAAAAATCTCCAAAGATATAGTCCCTCCTTTGGCGGAAAACTCAGGTGAAGTAAGACGTGCAACCCCCCAAATGGAAACTACCGGGGCTAGCTTTATGAAACTCATAGGACGGATACAAGAGATGATTTCAGGGCATGCAAAAATCCATACTTAAAAGTTACTGAGTTCTGATAGGGCCATTTTTTGCACTTCCGGAAACCGTTATCACTTGGGACCGGGACCAAGTGATAACGGTTCCCGGAAGTGCAAAAAATGGCCCTATCAGAACTCTGTAACTAGCGGTTGGAATGGAACCAAAACATGGTATGTTGTAGACCCAGTCGAAGGAAGCTTAAGTTTAGGATCCCAGACCCCTTGGACCCCTACTCCCGGTGCTATGCCCTATGCAAATAGACCCCACCCCGACTTCCGGAAGTCGTTTCCCGGACCCCACTGAACGCAGGGAGCTAAAACTGTGGGATAGCATAGGTAGCACTGAGGTACATCAGGTATCATAATTTGAGCCAAATCTAGCGGTTGAACCGGAAGTTATTAGCACTTTGGAAAACCACCCCTTATACCGGAAGTAGGCAATTTACGCAAAATAATAAGCGAGGGCATATCGATTTTATGGCGGCATCAGATACTACAACTCATCCCCGAAAAAAGACCCCCAGTGATTAAAATCCCTCGGGCGACTCCTTTCGGTGTTAATAGCCTTTTCCCGGGAAAAGTGATAATGGACAATATAAATGGGATAACTTGGGAAGTATCGATGGTATATGGACGAAACTTGATAGGTAGGACCCCCATTGAATTCTAAACCTGAATGTGGAAGGTTCACCCCGGGGTGACCTCAAATTGACCTTTGGGCGTTTAAGACCAAATTTGTATAGAAAACCTCGGTATTAGCATCGGAAAGTGGCGTTTTCATTCGACCCCAACCGTTGGGAATGAGAATTGGTTGCCTTACTAATAATTGGGAGGGAACTTACCTATTGGGAAATAAAAGCAGAAGCTGAAAGAGATATTAATTACACATTGTATGGTTGGAGTAGTGGAACTAATTAAAATGGACTTGGCAAACATAGGATTCAACTGAGCTTGGCGAGTTCGCTATTAATAGAATTTCAAACAGGGTAAAAGAAAAGTAGTCCCAGAAGAAATTGGCAGTAACAGAGGCAATAGGTCTCCTAAATAGTATGAATGAAAGGGGTATTTAATTAGCTCCCGGGAGTTGGCTTTTTGGCACGATTTGACCCCTAATACCCGAATTACTTTCCCCTGATAGCTAGAAGGTCAGGATTGGAATAGAGTATAGATCAGAATTTTAGATGCTCAGGATGAGTTAGCGACCCATAAAAGGGGCCTTTCCCTGCCCTCGGCAGGTTAGAACGTTAATGAGATAATTAAATAAAAACCTTGGGAAGATTGGTTAATTAAACATAACTCGGTTTGGAGGTGAAATTGGACTTGATATTTGCACAACTTAGTAAGGGATGCCTATAATGAACATGGAACTTAAGACTAGTGTCGTCAGAGGAAGAATTCAGTTAAGACCTTACGAAAAGGATACCAAAGTAAATATCAGGACTTGTAGTGATGACATAACTCTAACTATAACTAAAACTCAAATAGACAAGCATTATAGAGAATATCAAGTAGCCTACCCTTAGGCAGAACAATTGTGCTGTGAGAGCGAATGGTTGGTTCTCAGTTAGTTAGAGAACAATTATTGCTAAATAGAAGAGTAGTTTGTTCTCAGTCAGAGAGAGAACAGTGATAATTACTAGAGAGAGTAGTTGGTTCTCGTTAGATAGAGAGCAAGAAGAGAAAAGCTAACAGATAGTTGGTTCTCAGAGTTAGAGAACGAGAAATTGCGAAGTTGGGAGATCAGTTAAAAGTACCTCAAAGGAATAGTGGTCCATCGGGA